TTTAATACTCACAGCAGAGGTGTAGGGTAATTACGTGACTAACAGCCTATTCCTCGGCCTGCGTGGCTGCACAGCGGTGGATAAAGCCACAGTGTCTTCATCTTGCCCTGCAAGAGAGCGCCATGGGCGGGCTCGGAGCTGTGCGCCTCTCCATTCTCATTGCTAACTCCCTTTCTGAGCTCTCTTGCGCTCCTCTCTCCAGGCCTCCTCTGGAAATCTCCTTCCTCGCCCCTCCTCCCCCACCTTCAGCTTCCTCCCTGTCACCCCATTGGGACTCTGTGCCTGCCCTCAGGGCCCACCATGCCCCTGTAAGGGACTGTTGCCCCCTTACTAACACTCAGTGGGGGGGTTTTGGTTGCTAGCTCCCAACACTAAAAGGGGAAGGGTCGATGGCAAATCAGGAGCCTGAGACTGACAGTCCCCAGGAACAATGGGGAGAGGCCAATGCTCCAGATCAGCCTGATTGACAGGGCGGGCAGGCTAATCAGGGAGTCAGGAGGCCAGAGGGGGTCCCGTCTGTGTGAACTGGAATGGCCTGAGTCAGACAGAGTGGGGCCGAGCTAAGGAGAGAGCAGGGGCCCGAGCTGAGCTGCTGGGAGCAGAGCTGCAGCCCCAAAGCCAGAGCACAGCCCAGAGAGAGCAGAGCTGCCCTGGGAGCAGAGCTGCAGCCCCAAAGCCAGAGCACAGCCCAGAGAGAGCAGAGCTGCCCTGGGAGCAGAGCTGCAGCAACCGGAGCCAGAGGGGCCGGAGAACAGCCCAGGGGGCTGGAGGCAGAGCAGCAGCCGTGCTGAGGCCGAGTGGAGCCGGAGCTGGGGCCGGAGCCGTCCGGAGCCGGGTGCGGGGAGCAGCTGGGGAGTGGAGGGGGACCCTGGGCAGTGGGCCCAGCGCAGGGAGACGCCTCAGCCCAGAGGCCTTGCAGGCCAGACTCGGAGGGGGATCATAACCCCGACCGGGTGGGGGCTGATGCTGGGAAGAAGGGTCCTGCCACCTAGAGCCTGAGAGCGTGTGGCCACCACCAGAGCAAGTGTCCAACCCACAGCGTCTCTGCAGCACAGCCGGGGCCTGAGAAGGAGCCTGGGACCTACAAGGAACAGACTGAACTGCCCTGACGTTCCAGAGACACTGGTTGTGATGTTCAAGGCCACAGAGCGGGGTGATGTGTTTTCCTTCAATCTTTCCCGTTTTCCTTTATTCTTTTTTAAAATTAATTGTTAATTAAACAACTTGAATTTGCTTTAAATTGTATGAAATGATCAGTGGGTCAGGGAGGTGCCCAGTGCAGAGAGAGTACCCCGGAGTGGGGACACCCTAGCCCCTGTCCTGGGTGACCACAGCAGGGTTGGGGGTCGAGCCCCCCAGGAATCCTGGGCCCAGCCTTGTCGGGGTTTACGAGGATTCTGCCAGACAGGAGAGTGGAAGGGGAGCCCTCGAGGGCAGGGAGGCCTCTGGGTAAAGGAAGTGGGAGCGAGGACTCGGATCCTTTCGCTAGCCCACTTCACCGGGGTAGTGCAGAAGCCAGGAAAGTTCCCCACAATAGCGGGACCATTCCCCCGCTTACACCTCCATGGCAGGGGAATGGGGCCACTGGAACTGGCTAAGGCACATGAGGGTTAACGCCCTGCTCCTGCAGGGAGGGACAGGGAGCAGGCACCTCCAGCATCCAAGCACCCCTCTCCTCCGCCAGACACCATGCTTCGTTTAGAAGAACACCACCTGCTCAATCCGCAACACTGCTCTCCCAGAAGTACCCTGAGGCTCCTTTGGAGATCTCCCCAGCCAAGCAGTGCCCAGGACTGACCCTGCCTAGCTTTGAAGGCTGCAAGAGATCACAGCCCACAGTTGCATGCAGAGAATCTGAACAGAAGGCCTGGATGCCCTGTTGCTGTAGCCGTCCTGGTCCCAGGTTAGAGACAAGGTGGGGGAGGGAATCTCTCTGATTGGACCAACTTTGGTGGTGAGAGAGACCAGCTTTCAAGAGCCACAGAGAAGAGCTTTGTGTAAGCTCAAAAGCTGGTCTCTCTCACCAACCGAAGTTGGTCCAATCAGAGAGATTCCCTCACCCACTTTGGTCTCTCTCTTTGCAGTGGGTCTGTCCATTCCGAACGACATACTCCCTAGAACATTTCAGTAGGCAAGCGCTCAATCGGGAGCTGCTTGGCTAGCCGAAACCTGCAACTCTCCGGTGCACAAGGAAAGCTTGATCAGACCTGATCCAGTTAGGAGACCCGATTCCAAGCTCCTCCCATACCAACCAGCCAGCACTAGTTTCCCCTCTCTACTGTGTGCATTGCAGAGGGGATTAGCTGTGCTCGGCCCGGAATCTTGCACCATGAGGTAATCCCCAGAACCTCCCTTCATTAGCAGTCACTAGGGGCTCCCTGAGGGCATGGCTAATTACTCAGGCAGGCTGGACTGCTCCTTTAAAGCTGGAGAAGAGGTCAGGCAAGAACCCCAACAAAGGGGCCTTAACACACTTTGAACTTGTGTCAGGCCATGAAGGCTGCCTCCAAGAGCAAACGTGCGCTGGAAAACCCAGCTTGGTGAGTCCATACCACAGCAGCAGCAAGAACAAATTAACTGTGCCCCCCACAAAGCAAAAACCCCACTGCTTGGAAATAGCTGAACGATTCCAGCTCCACTGGGCTGCCCTGGGGTAACATCTCTGGGGCACGTGTCTCGCAGTACCTCAGACATGTTGCTCTTGCACTGATCTGCTCATTCAAGAGCCAAAGTTGAGCTCAGAGGCCCAGCAGCCTTGACTAGCGTGTGCTACCTTTCGTTCCAAAGCCGCCGGGCAAGACTCTCCAGATTTGGGGTTCTATTTAGGGCTGAGAACAGATTGCCCCAGTTCATAAAGTGAGTTACCAAGTCCCCAAAACGTCGCTTTCTGAAAATGTATGGATCATCTGCCAGCAGATAAGCCAGACCCCTTCCTTTACAGCCTGCCCAGGACCAATAAAATATAATAAGGGCTTTTGATACTGATCTCTTCATAAACAAACTAGAGAAATACAACCTAGATGGAGCTACTACAAGGTGGGTGCATAACTGGTTGGAAAACCGTTCCCAGAGAGTAGTTATCAGTGGTTCACAGTCAAGCTGGAAGAGCATATCGAGTGCGGTCCCACAGGGATCAGTTCTGGGTCTGGTTCTGGTCAATATTTCATCAATGATTTAGATAATGGCATAGAGGGGACACTTACAGTTTGTGGACAATACCAAGCAGGGAGGTGTTGCAAGTGCTTTGGTGGATAGGATTAAAATTCAAAATGATCTGGACAAACTGGAGAAATGGTCTGACGTAAACAGGATAAAGTTCAATAAGGACAAATGCAAAGAACTCCACTTAGGAAGAACCCATCAGTTGCACACATACAAAACGGGAAATGACTGCATAGGAAGGAGTACTGTGGAAGGGGATCTGAGGGTCACAGTGAATCACAAACTAAATACGAGTCAACAGTGTAACGCCGTTGCAAAAAAAGCAAACCTCATTCTGGGATGTATTAGCAGGAGCGTGGTAAGCAAGACACGAGAAGTAATTCTTCCGCTCTACTCCACGCTGATTAGGCCTCAGCTACAGTATTGTGTCCAGTTCTAGGCGCCACATTTCAGGAAAGATGTGGACAAAATGGAGGAAGGCCAGAGAAGAGCAACAAAAATGATTAAAGGTCTAGAAAACATGACCTATGGGGGAAGATTGAAAAAAATCAGTTTGTTTAGTCTGGAGAAGAGAAGACAGAGGGGAGACACGATAACCGCTCAGCACCTCTGAGGAGCAGCGGTGGGAACAGAACCCAGGTGTCCTGACTCAGACAGATCCCTACCCGCTAGGCCATGCCACCACCCACAAGTGGCCCTGCTATTAGACAAACATGGCTCCATGCAAACAGCACCATCTGTTCGGATTTCGTCTGGGACTCGGCAGATATTCTGTCTCTGCTCATCACCAGCTTCCCACCACCTGATGGATCCAGGCAAGAGGAGTGTGATCACGTGACCCGAAGGCAGATGCCTCCCACTGAAGGGATCAGTTACCTATTCTCATCTGCTTCAGTCCAGCATTATCAGACAGACAGCAGCAAAGAGGCCTGCAGGGACTCACCTCCTCCATTGCGGTAGCAGAGATAGGGGAAGCGCCAGACGTTGCCCAGCCCCACGCAATACCCGATGCAGGAGAGCAGGAACTCGTATTTCCCACCCCACGTCTCCCTGGGCTGGCAGGGGGCAGCGTCTGGGGTCACGGGCTGGATCTGGAAGGCAGGTTGGGGCTGGCTCACGGACTGCGGGTGTTCAGACTCCAGGGTCACACCGTTCAGCTGGACCGGACTCCCCTGCAGTGGGAGGAGAAGGGGGAAGAGTCAGAGATCAGACAAATCCCGTTCAGCCGCAGTGCCAGCACGCTCGCATGCCCCTGGGAGGGAGGGTGGGTCTGTCAGCCCACAAGCAAGTTCTGAGCAACCTTCTCCCAGGCACCTCTCCTGGAAGACCCATGCCAGCAGCCCCAACTCACAGAGGAATGGAGGAGGCTGTCCCATAGATCTAGGCCACTCAGCCAGCCCCCATGGCTTGGGACAGAGCCCTGTGGAGGGATCTGGAGGGAATAAGCCCCAGCGCTGGCCCTTGGGGAGATGGGCCACATGGGATGACGGAGGGCTCTCCTATTTCTAATGGCTCTGATCCACCCATCTCCCTCGGCCCAACCCTGTCGGCCTGTGTCACCATCAGCTTGGTCAATGTGGCCACAACTCAGCCCTCAACCTTTCCTCCCAAGGCCTCTCCACAGCCCCTGTTCTCCGTCACCGCATGCTGAGTGAACCACCATCCTCTCCAGCAACCAGGCCCGCCCCCAGTCAGCAGAGACTCCTCGCTCCGCCCCCACACATCTCACTGCTGCCTCCCCCCCAGCATTTCTCAGCTCTGTCCTTTTCCTTCTGTCTCTTGCCCAGGCCTCACATCGTGCCTTCCCCACCATCCCTAACATGGCGAGGGCCATCTTCCCTGCCAGTCACACTGGCACCATGTCTCCTCACTCCCCTTCTTCTTGGCCATCGAGTCCAAGCGTCTCAGCCTTGGCCCTTCACAGCTCAGCCACTCGCTCCCCATCACCTCCTCCACCCAGCTGGTGGGACCACCCGCGTGTCTGCTCCTCACAAATTCTCTACCACACCCCCGCCCACAGCGCAGCCTCCCTGAACTGCTCCATCAGCCCACCAGCCTCTCCTCACTGCTTCCCATCCCCGAGCCAGACAGGCCGCCGCCAGGATGCATGCAAGCGATCGGCCCCTGTTTGATGGCTGGACTGTGGTTAATACCTATGCAGCAAGGTATCTGAGCGCTGCCCTCTCGCCCCATTTCATCAGCCAGGTGTCTCCTGTCTAGGGCAGGAACTGTATCCACCTGTTTGCGCAGCACCCGGCACAAGGCCCAGATCCTGATCAAGGCCTCTTATAAATCCCCCTCTTCTCCAGCTGGCATAACTCCAGTGCAGCTCCAAGCCTGCTTCGTCTAGGTACGAGGAAACAAGCGTGTGGGGGTGGAGGGGCCGGGGTGGGGGGGATCACTTTCCCTTTCACCCAGGGACTGTCTGATCATCAGCACTTGCCATCCCCCTGCACAGAGGCTGCCAGGACTAGCACCCTGGCAGAGCAGCACTGCCTGGACACCATCTGCCATGGACAGACAGATCAGCAGCTCTCATCACTGGCAGCTGCCTCCCCGCTTCATCAGCGCCTCTCTTCACACATCACCTGTCAGAGCAATGCCTGGAACTGCCAGCTGGGCGGGACAAGGCTTGGTCTCTTAGCAGCACTCAACAGGGAAAACACAGACAACAATTCAACAGGGAAACTCAACTGCAAGCCGCAGGGCCATCAGAAAACACACCCAGCAAGCCGGGAAGGGCTGGCTTGGGATTCCACGTAGAGCAGTGGTTCTCAACCAGGGGTACGCGTACCCCTGGGGGGTACACAGGGGTCTTCCAGGGGGTACATCAACTCATCTAGATATTTGCCTAGTGTTACAACAGGCTGCATAAAAAGCACTAGCAAAGTCAGCACAAACTACAACGTCATACAGACAAAATGAGAAAGTCAGCAAGATTTCAGTACTCGTGCGCAGGGACATTTTTGTATTCTTAGGTCTGATTTCGTAAACAAGTCGTTTGTAAGTGAGGTGAAGCTTGGGGTACACAAGACAAATCAGGCTCCTGTAAGAGGCACGATAGTCTGGGAAGGCCGAGAGCCACTGATGCGCCGGGCTGGGACGTAGCGTGTACAGCTCCCCCAACTCACAAGTTCCCCTGGTCGGCGAGGAGTGGGATCCGGGGAAAGGTTTCTCGTTTGCGCACAGTACAGAACCCCGGCACAGATCAGCACCTGCTCCTTAGCTGGGCTCAGGGCTGGACCAGCAGAGGGGGATGCAGCCAGGACGGAGGTGCACTGGCAGTGATGTCGTCGGGGTAGGACGGGAGGCTGAAAGCAAGGAGCACGCTGCACCGGCAGAGGTATCTGGCTGCACAGGGGAGCAGCGTGTGCATGCTACAGGGAAGTGCTGTCCATCTCCGACCAGCACTGCCAGTCCCTCGCTGGTGTGAGCGCTAAACTCGTGCACGAGGCCTGCTGAGAGAGAGGGAATTTGAACAGGTTTGTGTCAGGGGCAGCAGCTCCCCTCCTGTCCCTGCGTGTAACATGGCAGGTGCGTACGGGTAGGCCAGCTCCAGTAGGCCCTAGAGAATCCAGATCCACACACGGGAGGGGTGGGGAAGCCAGCGACTTGGCACCAGTTATCTCAGCATTGAACTCTGGCTCCCTGCAGAGCGGGCTCAGGTCCCAATCTCACACCTGCGCTGCGGTACCAGAGGGCCCCCCCTTGTAAGGGGCACGGCACCACCAGTCTGCCTGCTCCCAGAGCAGAGCTATCACTCGGGCACACGGGATGGGAAGGAAGCCTGGGGGCAGGGCACAAGGGACCCAGAGCTGCAACATTTGGATCCATCCCAAAATCTGTATCTGGCCGTCTCTAGCATCAGCAGGGCCAGCCCCAGGCCTATGGGACTCCAGCCAGCTCAC